GTGGTGGTGGTAGTTGCTGTGGTTGTGGCGGTTGCTGTGGGTTAGCGTACCCGCGCCGCGCCGCGTGCCTGCACGGGCTGTTTCCTCGAACGACGGCGACCCGCGCGCTCGTGGCGGCCGGCGCGCAAACGAATAGAACCGGATCTCGTAAAGTTTACGCGTAAAGAATGAACGTCAGAAAGAGAAGCACGACATCGGAACACAAACACAAAGTGGAAGAGAGTAAATGTATTCACATAGGAAATCCAATTTATATAATTATTGCATTCCATTTCAACAATCTCTCAGTGGACCCCTGTAAGTCCAAATAGGCCTATTGAGTTGTCATCATGTCTACCGTTCAGATAGAACCAACAGTTACAATTAATTTACTATCCACTGAAAGAACTTCCTTTTTTAAATTCAAGAACTGTACATGCAGAAGAACACACATTGAAGAAATTTCTTAAGATAAGTTACACATAGAAACGTTATTTGAGAGTTTCAAAATTCAATGACGTGGGCAAGGTCTGCGATTACGCGACACTATTACTAACAGCAACCAATTCAAAAGTTTATTTTGTACAGCTGACTACGAATTCTCGTAAATATAAATTAGAAATGAGGAAGAAGCAACCAAAACAAGAGTAATTCAATGTCTACATTTTCCACGACTTCTTTCTACACAAACTTTTCCGTTTTCGACATATCCCGTCTATTAAAAAAATAAATATTTGTAACCCTCACCCAAAATAAGGATCAACATCTTTCCATCGAAATCAACGCGCAGAATTTTTTCCCCAGAGTCGGTCACGCAGGGGAACTGAGAGGCCCGCGCACACTTCCTCGTATGCCCCCTTCCTTCCAGTGCTCGCTCTTCTCGCTCGCGCTCTCCCTCTCCTTCTCGCTTCTGGGAAACTTCTCGCGAGTCGCGGCGAAACCAACAAACTCTCAACGTCAGAGGCAAAACTAATGCGGCGGGGGAAAACCTGCCGGGCGCGGCCCACGCGCCTGCCGACCTGTGCAGCCTCGCTCAACGCCCGGCCGGCCCGGCCGCACCGGGGCGGCTTCCAACGCCCCCGATGACATTCGCCCCCTCGTAACATTGAGACCGGGAGAGGTGGCGCAGGGCATCAGTCCGTCTGTCCGGGAGGTCCTACGCTTCGACGGTGGCAGGACTTTCGACACTGGCTTCAAAGCTAGGTCGAATTCGGCCGCTGTCTGCAGAGTTCTTATTAACAATTACCATCACGTACGAAATAAACCTCTATTAAATATATTTAAAATTGATCGGCAACAAGAATTAATAGCAAAAACTTACACCGCAAACACAAACGTAATACCCCTTTTTAGCAGAAAAGGAACTCTGTATAGTAATAAATAAATGTCTAATACTATTGATCAAAGAGGAAGCAGAAATGATACATTACTAGCAAGGAACCTCGAGGCTACATGGAGAAGATTCGTAAGTAGGTCACGAAACGCGATCTTCCCTCGGGGCAGGAGACGAGAAAAAAAAGTCCATGCAAGGGGAGGAAAGGGGGCGGGAGGAGACCCGACAGATCGAAGAAAAACACAAGGCGCGCTTCTCTTCGAGGGAGAGCATGCGAGGGCGGAGGAACTCGTTGCAAGAGCAAGGAAACGAACGGAAGACGACAACGAGAAAGAGTAGGCGAGGTCGACTCTGGAATAATTTACCAGTGCGTGGTCTTGATACTAGATCCATTTTTTAAAGTTATTTTCAATAAAGCGACGCCGTCGTGCGTGAAGCGCATATGTCACAAGCAGGCAAGTCTGAAGTAAGACATCCGGGGAATTTTAATTTTTTGTTAGTGATGTTTTTGTTGCATATTTTTACTGTTAAGACTACCACCCCAATTCAAATGCTGAAAAACGGGAATGTCTTAGCTCATATAAAACTACTATTTATTATATTTGGTTCCAGTGTCCGTTAACTTTATAAGAACAGCGCTTTTCAATACATAAACCAACATGAATGTTGAGCTTTCTTGAATATCTACTTGAACTCGGCGATTGAAAGATAGCAACATGTCATTACGAAGTATTCAAATACAACAGCACAAAATAATGGCGCGGGCTTCGAGAACAGTAATCCAACAAAAACGACCCGAAGAAAGGCCTAACTTACGTGGGTGGATTTAGCAGCACAGGACGCAAAAGAGTACGATACGCGACGGAGCGAGACAAAAGAAGAACACGTCAATACGGGTGCGCCACAGAGGCG